TGTCTCATAGAAGATGTTCATATTAAGTTTAAATCACATCTTTTCATAGAAGTAGCTTTGGAAAATGGCAAAATCCAAGCTCGTGTGCAGTGCATACAGTACAACCAAACGCCTACCTTCGTACATAACCAACAATACAGAACCACTTTTCCCCCTTGAAGCAGAAAAAAGCAGCTACTGAAGTTGCGGCAGTGAAGGGCTCCAAAACGAACACTTCATTGCAAGCTCAGGAACAGCTCAAGGCAGATACTATAACGATTCTGCCCTCCTCAGTGTTATTGCTGGCAGCTGTATCTTTTCCTGCAGTCAGTACGTTTCTCCCAGCAAACTTTACAAACTGCAGCATTTCTGAATTGAAACAAATGGAAGCTGAAAATCTTCAGAGGTAGGAAGCATCTGCTGCTCTAAAGTAGCTGTCTTCCAAAGACATCAAATAAACCAGTACAGACGTCTATTACAAAGCCTACCTTATTGACCCGTATGTTAGATATTTAACCACGGCCAATTAACAGGACAGGAAGATTTTTTTTATTCTTTTCAAAGGCTGTTATTCTTAGGAAAAAAATAAATTTTGCATAATGAACTCTTCACGTGATACTAGAACTGAGCAACTGTTCTTTTAACTGCACCTGGAATCCAGACAGTTGGAGGCCACCCCTTTACAACCCACTTATTAAGCTCCTCTTCTACTTGTGCTCTTTCTACTCGTTTCTGAGGTTCTGGGAGCCAGTGAAAGTGCATTTCTACTAGCCAAATTTCTTCCTAGCAACTGACCTGAGAAAAAAATCCCAACTAAAAGTGTTTGACATTCAAGAGTTCCATTTATTTTCTCAGGACTTTAATACTTAATACAAAACAAAAAAAAAGAACATTATTATTTAAAGAAGGCAAAAAGAAATACCACCAATGAACACTAGCTATGCCAATTAGATTTTAACATTGCTCAGAAACAGGATTCAGGACATGAACAAAAAGAAGCCAAATTAATCCCATGTGCTTTTTGGAGACATGTAGATAAAAGGTATTTTTCAGTATCGTGGTTTTGCTCTTCACACTACTCAGATAATATGGCAAATGCAAAAAAAATATAAATGTAAGCCTGCTAAAACGTCGTACTGTACCTCAGAGGCAGCTAACCACGCAAAGCAAAGGTCATAAGCAATAATCAGACCTCCTGTTATCAGCAAAGCTACGTTTGATTTGGAAAATTGTCAAGACCAGGAACAACTTAAATGCGTATCTAAAAAGGGCCTAACTGATGCTATGCTATGAAACTAAAATACTCAGAGCATATTTATACACTTTTAAATATAGTTAGTGGTATTTCCCATTCCCTCCACATGGAACTCAGAACATCTAGCTACCAAATTCACCCCCTCCGTCCCCCCGGGTCTCTCCATAGCTGAAGAGATTAGAAAGTGCAGTCGAAGCAGGGGGCAGGGGAAGGAGAATGGCAAGAATCTTTATCCCTCCTCCCCAGACTCCACTAGGCAGTGTTTAATAAACTCAGATGGCCCAATTTCAGAAGAAAACGGCAATGTCAGTTTAGCTAAAATTGTTAGCAAGTCTTTGGATACTCAGTGGGCTTTTTTGTTTTTGGAGAATCGGGAAAAGGAATAAATCCTGGAATTAAGATTATAGCAAACCGACAGTATTTCTGCAGAAAATTTAGAAACACCACAGTACTCCTGATTTTAATATACTCATACAATCTAGGTACTTTCAGTCGTTCTTCAAAAGCCAGGCTGTACTGGCAGAAGCTTTGGACTCACTCCCACAAGTACTTCCTTGCATGCAAGCAACTACTCGTCAGCTCGATGAAACTATTCTTGAACATAGAAATTCACAGGACTGAGCCCTTGCCATGACTTTTAGGGAGTCACAGGTTGGGGCTAGTTTTGTCTTTTACATAACCATGTCTATGTCCGTACCAAATACCATGATGCAGCAACAACAGCTATTACCAAAAGCCTAGAGTGGATGTTGAAGGCAATCGAGCTAAAATTATCAGGGGCTTCATAGAAGCAATTTATTCTGCTAAAAAGTAAAGCTTCAGGGTACTGTGGTTAGCCCACCAAGTGTCTGAATTAGCTCAGCACTGCACCCTTACGTGCAAGTATAACCTACAAAGTGATTCTAAAATAGCATGTTTCTGGATGAGACATGTACTAAGTGTAAAACATTTCACCCAATGATGTCTGGTACATCTCTTGACACATTTAATCAGAAGCATAAACAATCTAGACACTGAAATACAAACTTCTTTTTCCTTAAAATCAGTGTTCCATATTTTTTTATTTTAAAAATTCAGGAATGTGATACACAATACAATTAGCTCCCCACCACTGCTTACTTGGAATTAATTTTTTTATGTTTTTTTTTTAAAAAAAAAAAAAAAAAAAAAGGAGACTGCGCAGTGTTTTTGAATGCTCCCAGTATTCTGGAACTGTGATCTTCAGAACAAATCAGGTCTGTGTAACCACAGACAGACCAGGTTAAAAAAATCAAGCTATATCACAACCTGGCAGGCTACAGTCGGGTCTCATACAGCCAGGACAAACACAAAAATTGTGCTCCTCCTGCGGTACAGCCACCACCTTGACCTGACTATATGCTTTCAGGGAATTTACCATCGAGGATTGAAGAGACTAAAGGGCCCTGTTAACACCAGCTGGTGCTGCACGTGCAACACGCGCGGGACAGAGAGGCCATGCAACTCCCCCTTCCGCCCCCATCACCACCGTCGTCACATCCGCATCCTGTCCTGATAATAAAAATAATGTGGGGAAGAGCTTTTTGTCTTTTAAGCTAGCCATTGCCTGCAATGGACACAGAAATAGAAAAATATGACTTCTGGCACAAAAAAAAAGAGATTAAATAGTTACAATGGAATTACTGACTACAACTCCATCTATTCAGATGCATTTACTGAGACCGTTAACCAACGGTGGCAACTGTCAAGACTTAGCAGTCGCTCTCTAAGAGCAACAGGAGAGAAGTAAGTCAGGCTTCTCAGTGCTACTATGGTTTGTCTTGGTTTTTTTAATAAACAAAGAGCAGTAGTTCTATGGTGCCTTAGTGATATACAGCAGGACCTCAATAATTCATACTAATGACTGAGACCAATTTTAAACTAGTGAGCAACATGATTAGTGAAAATTTACCATAAACAACAAGGATACACATTTCCAAAAAAAACCTAGTACTTTGTTCATTTCAAAATTTACTTGGTTAATACTTTGTAGTATACTAGCAATGGTAGCATATCCTGGAAATGTAGTCTCATACAAGATCTCTCGTTTAACAGTCAACTCTAGATCATATACAGGTAACAGAAGAAAAGAGTTAAGATAATTCAGACAAAACAAAAACATATATAAATACTATATTAACATATTTAAGTTAGTTTATGAGACTATACAACAAGCATAAACACAGAAAAAGGTGAGTGATGTTGATGGCTGTGAAGCACCAACACCCCCAAGCCAGCGCAAAGCCAAACCGACCCATCCACACACCGCAGCTTCCTGTGGATGCATCCGAGCAGCCCGGAGGCAAAATCACCGCACGGTGCTGCGCTGCACCCAAGCTACCAAACCCTGCGAGAGGGGGCTCGAGCGCAACTGGACTGAGCTCCTCGACTTTTCCAATGCTTTGGCACACAGCATTTGACCAACGCATTGGCATGTGATACAGAGCTCGTCTGGCCCTGGAGACTGCACAGTTAATATACAACACTGGTAATCCACCCATGGATAATCGAGAGTTGACTGCAGTGCTCTGCAGAGAAGTTGGGTAAGACCACTGACACAACCTGCGTCAATCCAGGTCCGGCAAGCAGCAGACTATTTTGAACTACTTAGGAGCAATTACCATACGAGACGCATACTAGAAATGCAAACTAGCAAAGTGTTCTGTATCTGGAGGCATAGCTACATTCCCTTCACTAACAAAACATTATTTTTTAAAAAAAATCTACATTTAAATACTGTTAAAAACCTGAAAACCTCAGTATCAAAGAATTTCATAAGGCCAAAACTATCCTCAGTTCTCTCTGTTGTGCCTAGGTATTGCAATACATTTGTAGAAGAAGTAAATACCACGTAATTTAGTATCTTTTACTCCTTCCAGTGCCTTCCAGTAACAGATCTCGGAGCTCTTCACACAAACGTTCAGCCTCACAACACCCCTGTGAGGTAGGTATTATCCCCGTTTGAAGACAGGGAAACTGAGGCAGGATGTTTATCATGTCCAGAGTCATAGCGCAAACAATGGAAGATCTGAGCTTTCCAGTCTCGAGCACAGGAGCAGTCAACTAGATCACAAGACATTATTTCCCATACATAACTTGAGGGTGGATCAAAAAGGTCAGGGTTTTAGATTAGATTTCTTGTACGTTTTATCTTCAACTCTCACGTAGTCTCTGCCAAATTCACAAGAGTCCATAGACCAGTTTCTCCCTCATTAAGGTGTAAGTTGGCAGCGTACTGTAACAGCTTCTTTAGAGCCAGTTGTCAATTAACTAAGCTAACATTTTAAACCATAGATTCGGATACTTAATAAGTGAAATTATGTGATACATAAATATCTCAAAGTGTGAAATACAAGTGAATGAAATCCTACTCCCTGCCCCACTTCCTGAAAAGTCAGCGGAAGGCTCCCGAGGACACAGCAGGGACCAGGACTGCAGTCACTGCAAGTGCTTACAGACACACTCAACTACAAGCAAAATGCACCACCGAATTACTTGTTACAGAGGCTACTGTCTATGCTTAAAAGCATGAATTATACGGTTGGTGCTTGGCAGGCTTTCCCCGACAGAGCACTTACTGACATAACTAATTCTTTTATCTCAGTAAACTGAGCATCAGTTAAAAACTGAGCTCCAGCTCTTCATTCGTAGCTCTGTGAGTCAAGGATTCTTTAAACTTCAAAGACTTTTACGACCAGACACAACTTGGAAATAAGGAAAACCACCACCAGAAAATCCGTAAAATATGAAAGTATGCGTTACTTTATCGGTCAGTCTCACGTCTTGATCAGAGAGCAGTATACAGCAGCTTGAACTTCCACTCTGATAGAAAAAAAACCCTTTCACATCTGGTATTTTCACAAGCAGCTGATTTTAATTACCTCGCTACCTTACCAGTAAAAGTGGGGACAGTTTCTAACAATCACGATGTTCTCTTTAAAATATGCTATATGATAAATTCATTAGAAAAGCCTTCACATTCACTATTATATAGGTTTAAGAAAAATATGTGAAACTGCAAAGTGGTTTCCAGTTTTAAGTAGTTATAACTTTAAAAAATGTTCTATGAACTTTGGTTTCCTTAGGGCTTCTAAATAAACAATATATTAAAATATCTACAAATCAAATATTAAAGGAAAGAGTAGGCCCGAGAAATCTGTAACACAAATTGAGTTCCTACACGCTTACCCCTCAAATACCTTTTCACTGGAAAAATATTTTCATCTGAAGCACAGCAAAAAGTGTCTCTGCTGAAATGCTGAAACTGGTTTTCTGAAGTTGTTACAGCATTGGCGCACTTTCTGTCTGTCTCAGTACAAAGTCATCACAAACACATTGTATCACGACAGTGAAATTCTTCAAAACAAGCGTTCTAGATTTAGCAATGTGACAAGAACAAGGACTTCAGCAATTACACTATTTGGCAAAATTGCATCTCCAACGTCCGTCTCTTCCTCTTGCAATACAGCTGTTGTCAAAGTCACCAAAACTCGGGCAGCACCATTCGGGGAGTTACAAAGATGATTCAAACTGCTCGTTTTGATCGGTGTTTGCCTCTAGCTTAACTGAAGGGATGCTCTCCGACTTAGTCCTCCTAGTTTTTGGAAATTCAATGACAACTTCTGAACAAGAAATACTAAGTGACGAAGATTTTTCTGTCTTCTTTGCAGTACTATCTTCTCCCGTTCCGCAACACTGCTTCAGAGCACACTGAGTCCTGCAAGGAAACGCGCATTTCCCTCTCCCCGATTCAGAGCCAACGCTGGCAAACTCGGGCTGAATGGTAGTTGCGTGAATCCCTTCGTCATGAAAGATCTCTTTTATGCGCTTTGCCACCATCATGTAGGTGGAAGGGTCAGGACACTTTATGTGAGCAGTGCCAATGATCCTACTGCCTGCTAGCTGCCAAATGTGTAATTCATGGACAGCTTCAACCCCTTCAAGGGTACGTAATTTTGAGTTCAAAGAATGAACATCTATCTGTTTGGGAACAGTCTGTAGAAGTATAAGGGCTGACTCCCTAAGTAATGGGTAAGTTGTGTAAAGGAGTATACAAACCATTATCAAACAAAGGACAGGATCTAAATATAGCAACCAGCATGGACCCGCCACCGTAACGCTCTCTTGCTCAGACTTGTTTGCTCTGCCAAGTGTTTGGAATAAAGTAGCATTTTCCATGCAGTGGTTATTGATACATGGATTAAAGCAGGGCCCATCTTTGGGGCATGGATTCCACAACCCATAAAAGAGCAAGGCATTCACTACCACAATTACTGAGCCTAAGGCATCTCCAAAAACATGCAGAAAAACTCCACGCATGTTAAGCTGCGCACTAGAGTCTTCTTCAACCTCCTCTACATCCAGAGCATAATGACCAGCGTTCCCGTTCACTTGCAGGTCACTCATGTCGTCTTTCGCATCACCTGACAAGAAAACAGTAAAAGGATTAGGCATATGCTATAATACTACACATTACTATGATTCCAAATAAGATAATAACCAACACTAAGCTTACCACATTGAGTACAAAGCCGAAACATAAGCAACTCTACCCGCAACACCTAGCAGCGTTTTCTCTGGCTGAGAAATATTAAGTTGTCCCAATAAGTGAAGTAAATACTCCACAAGGCAATTGTTTCTACACGGAACTTCAAAATGTAGAGTGGCAAACTATGAAGATGGCTGCATTTTAATTTATTTTACTGAAAAACTGTTTTCACATTTTCCAGCTGTTTAACCATTTGACTACTGTTCGTTTCTTAAACAAAATGCAGAATTACAGAGCATATATAAAAAAGCTTGTTAAGTAGCTAAGTAACTTACATTTGCTCCCTCTTTTGAAAAGCCAGAAGGCTAATCACATTGCTAAAAATCCCTCTTAAGCCATAGGACTGCATTGCTATTTTATATTAAAATTTATAAGGCCAGAAGCTCAAAAGCTGTATGAATACCGTGTTATACTAACAGCTTCTCGGGTTTAGTAGTTTATTTCCAGAAGACTTCTGAATACAAGGAAAAGGAAGTTTTTCTGAGAGGGTGCATGGAGCCAGCACAACTGTGAGATACAATGAGCTGAGCTTTTTGGCCTAAACCACTGAATTTATCAGCAGTATTGACTACAGGACAGTGTCAGTTATCACTGAAGCTCTCAGAGGCTATGAAGTAGTGTTATTTATATTTTAGAATACATAAAAAATGTATTCTAGTACTTTTTTTTTTTTTTAAGTGACACAGAGCTGTTGAGTGACATACAGCTGTTGATGCCCAAAGCCATATGTCATGGACCATGCAATGCATAAATGAACATTTTGGTGCTCTCCTTTGTCAAAACTGTCTGCAATATTACCACTCCATCACATCCAACTAGCTATACAGGAATAAATGCACACATCATTATGAAGAAGAATGTTTTTTAAAAGAAAAACATCTTCCAATGTTCAAAATTGAAAGTATTTTACACGACTAACCTCCTACTTTTCTTTAAAAGTTCTTCTTTGGACAGAAAACTTCCAGTGTTAAGGAAACGTAATGGGCACTGGCCCGACAAACTGAAACAAGGAGCTCTTACTGCTTCCGTGGTTATTCAGTTCAAAGCTTTGTAAACATTAATGTTAGTATGACCCGCAGCTTCTGCCACTCTGCTCTCATGACTGCGATTCTGTAATCATAAAGTGTCTGTAAGTTCTTTCCTCTCTGAAGAAGGGGTGGGCTCCTACGAAGGCGGCTCAGCTCCAGGCCCCAAGCTCATAACCTCATGCATCACACTTCTGTCCTAAAGCTCCATCTACATTTTCCACACAACTTCTAGCAGTTATGGAATATGGCACCTGTAACTTTCCAGAGAAATCAATAAATTACAAGAAAATATCTCGGGTTACAGAGTTCAGATCTCAGGGACCACGATGAGAGCAAGCAAAGAGGAACTTAGATTCTAACTCTGCTGCGTACCAAGTGCTCGGAGAAAAGACTTGGAAAGTCAGTAAACCTATCTATAAGGGGAGGCAACAGGAAATATGGTTCCAGAAAGCTCTTGAGATTTTTTGATGGCAAGAGGTTAAAACGTGTCCCTTTGAAATATGTTCATTTAAATCTAACTATAAACCGATTACTTCACATAAAGTGCATGCACGAAGATACGTGCGCAGGACTAGCTCCTAAGGCTATTGACAGCTTTCCACTTCCACCTTAGGAAAGCAGAGTCTATCCCTCTTTGTAATTTCCAGTGAAGGCACAGCACCACTCTCGGTCATTTCCCTAGTCTTCACCTACGCATCTGACAGCACCTCCACCTGTAACATCGCCACGGGTAAACTATGAGTAAGTCCATCCATTACATAATCATGACAGGGCACAGAAGGAAATACAAACTTATTTCAAGTTTCACTGCGACCAAAATTATGCCCTATTACCACCTGAATACCCACAACAAATTATTTGTTATTGCCAGAAGGACATCCACAAGAAATTCCAAACAAGTTACCTCAAAACAGCGTACATTTTACTCCATGCTGTAAGTTAACCTTTTAGTCTAGAACTAGTCCAAACTTGGCTAAAGCGCAACTTAAGTTTCACCACGCAAGAACAATTCACAAGCCAACATATCTATCAGGTCAACAGTTAAGGGAATTTTAGATTGTTTGAAACTGATTATTAGGATACCTTTGTTGGAACTAAACCAACATTAAGAACTATTTAGGCGGTCAAGAAAATGGTGTACTGTATTCAGAGGAACTTTCCTATCCTCTTGCAAAACCTGTCTTTTCAAAACCAGCACAGAGTCAAAACACTAAAGACAGAGCGAGAGAGAGGGACAGAGGGAAACTGCTAAGTTTCTCAAATGTGTATTGGAACCTCTAACCGCAGAAAAACCGAAACTGCAGCAAAGTTCACTCCGCTCAATTAAAGCTCAGTTTAAGCTGAAACAGTAGTCCCCTGATGTCGCCCTGAAAATAAAGGAGACATGGGTTCTGAAGACTGAAACCCCTTCCTTCTGGTAACAGGGATGCCATACGATTAAAGTAGAGAAACCGCAATTACGCACCTTTCACTCTGCTAGCACGCAGCACTTGGCTTTGACCAAGTGATGTCAAAATAAACTATCCAGGCTTCTGGATCCGTTATAAAAATAACCCACGAAATTCCCTCCCACAAAACAGACAGTTTCACCACAACCGAGAAGGGAAGATTTTAAATTTATCTCGTCGTGCAAGTGAGTGGGAAGGTGCAGCTAAAGGAAAGCAATTTGAAGAAACCACGCATGTACTCTAACACCACGGAGCTCCACATTCAGTGCTTACTGCGTGACTTCCACAGTTCAGACTGGTAATTTCCAAGACTTCTTCCTATTAAAACGGATGTCACGAAGAGGTACAACGTTATTGCAGTGGAGCGTACTTCAGCGTGTTACGTTCAGATGGAGATTAGCATCTCAGGTAGCTACTAGCCAACCCAACAGAGATCTGGCTGTCAGTACCACGGTGTTGAGCTGCGCTCTATTTGATGTGCAGGCAGTTGAAGTGGCATTAGGGCAACGTCTTGTGACAGACTGCGTCGCTCAGCAAAAACCACTTGTCATGCACCTTCTCTACCAGCACCAACTTTTTCCAAGGTGAACCGCTTTACCCTAAGACTCTTTCACACTCTCACCTGTCTGCAAGACACACACACACAGCTTCGGGTACTCCTGCTAGCACCTGAAGGAAAGGCGTGAGGTAGGGACGCGACGGGTGCGTGCCCGAAAGCGCCGCTGAGAAAGCTTCTTGCCTCTTCCAGAGGAGGAAGGACGTGCGGGCCCCACGAAGCCTGCACCGGGCGAGACCAGGACGCCCACCACCTTCCTCGGGGAAGGGACCTCTCCTGCTTCCCTGACGCGACGGGTGCGTGCCCGAAAGCGCCGCTGAGAAAGCTTCTTGCCTCTTCCAGAGGAGGAAGGACGTGCGGGCCCCACGAAGCCTGCACCGGGCGAGACCAGGACGCCCACCACCTTCCTCGGGGAAGGGACCTCTCCTGCTTCCCTCGCACCTCTGTGCTGGGATGGGACTCACCTAGCCTCTCCTGGCTGACTCCGTTGGAGCTGCTGCAGGTCCCCA